AATCCCCAAAACACTGACTTGTCCATCTGCTTCACACGCCGCTTCTTCATCTTGCGCACGACAGCCACAATGTGGCTCATGATGCCTAGGTCCGCCTGGTGCATGATGTCAGGCATCACCACGAGGTAGGGATTGCCCCACGCGGTCCCTGGGACATCCCACTTCCAGAGCACGCACTGGAAATGGGGATGTGGTGGGGAATGGAGGAGAGATGTACGTGAGAGTGGATAGGTAATCTAAACCACAAGTCGGGTGAGTTCAATGGGGCAGAGCACATCTGGCAATTCATGACGGGGCGGGCGAGAGCATAGACTACTCATGGGCCGGGGAAACAGGTCACTCACCTCAATAGGGTAGGTAGAGTAGGCCTTGCACGGGTTGTCCTGGCTAGTTGTCGTCCCCGCCGCCTCGTTAACGATCCATTGCTGCTGTTCAGGCGTGCGCGGCGTGTTCCGTGCCTTGACAGCACTCAGATGCTCCTGTTGTAGCACGGGGCCGAGGGATGGGATAGAAAAGGTAAGGGTGGTAGCTATGTGGGTTCGCTCAGGCGAGCCACAAACGGGAATGTAATTGAATGCGTGCAGATGGCATGTGACCTCACCTTTGCAGCATAGCAGATGCTGCACGGCATCCGCGATCCATGCGAGAGTGTGCAACTGATTTTGCCGCTCTCGGGGTAGTCGCACACCCAGGCGTACAGCAGGGGCCGCACGGTTTGCCAATCTCCGAAAGGGTCCTTGAGACGGAACCCGCTGCAAGGAATGGAGTGAGTGGCAACAGGCATTCAAGGTTGCGGCTTTTAGGGAGGAACGACGAGGGGCAAAGGGCCATGCTACATACAGAGAGGGTTTGCATACCATGCAGGTGGTGAGATGATGTCTTAGCAAGATGCAAACCGAGTACGGACCTGGCGATGCCATCAAGAAGCGGCTGCAGCACGGTGATGACGCAACGCTGGAAGAGCATCACCTTCTCCACGGCAGACATTGCAGATGGGGGGATTGGAAGGAGGGCAAGTAGTGTGTGACCGGCTTTCCCCCATTGCTTGGCCTGGGCGATGTTCGCCAGCGTCATCATGAGCGGCCACGCCTTTTTCCGGCCGTTGTTGCTCATGTGCGTCACATCCGAATATAAGATGATCCCCCCCACAACTTCGGACCAACCGAAGTGTTCCTGCAGTGCACGACAAAGCGGCAACGGACACACGGTTTAACACTCAAGATGCTCTTGAGAGATCAGTGCTGCGATGGATGCATGACTCAGGATTGGGTTTGGGGTGGCAACGTGGTCTTTCCTTACCTGAGCATCATTCCACCACGTTCCTGTTTCGGGCGTGGTATAGCGACGGCCGCCTGCGTCAGGGTCCTCATCTACACGCGCCTTGAGCTTGAAGCCGGGCGCGTTGTTGGGATGTCCAAACATTTCAGCGAATGCCTGGTGTACGGTGGTGAAAGCAGGTGAGAGGAGAGGCATGGTTCGTGGCGGAGAAGGTGGGTGTACGGTTAATACAAGGATAACTAAGTACATGCAAACCCTGTGTGCCTCATCATCATTTCACGGCCTTGAATGCAAAGTCGGCTTACCTGGGCTGAGTTCTGGAAGAGCAAGCGCTGTGGTGGATGACCGTCAATCTCGAAGGTCGCCACCGACCATCCGCGATTGAGCCCTGCCAAGCACTCCAACTCGAACCGCTCCAGATCCTTACAGTTCCGGAGCTCCGAGTTCACAAGAGGCGCAAGGCCGGGCTCTACGACTAGCTGAAGCAGGCCGTTGATGTCAACCTCGGCCATTCCCATTCCGCCATTCACGCGCTGGACGAAATGCAGTAGCTTCAACGCGAGCGGATTGAGGGGCATGGCATTGCTCTGTCCGGAGATGACGGTTGGCGGCGCGGCATGACTCCCTTCGGGCCGGCTCTCAGGATGGTCAGTCGTCTCAGCCGCAGGAGCTCCATGCTGTGGTTGATGTTCATCTTCAGGAGGCCCCTCGTTCACGTCGTTGGGAGTTTCGTCAACGTGAGCATCAGGAACGCGTGGAGGTCGGCTCACACTGACGGCGTTGGATGCGTTAGACGCTGTAGGTGAACCGGGAGCGGCTAGAGTGTCCGACAGAATGTCGTGGACGAATAGCAAAGCGTGAAGACCGGCGGTCGATGCAGATCGCGTGGGCCTCGCCACGGCGGATAGTCCTTGGCAAGGGGTCCGCCGTGACTTATGACCGCCATAAACTTGGGCGTTGGGGAACCATCTGTTGCAGAACTCGCAAACGACGCCTGGTAAAGAGCCCATCAGTTACGGATCCGTTGTAGAGTCGAGACCTGGCCTATGAAGCTACTACCCGTGATGAAGCTTGTGAACGCATTAACTACCCCGTTCAAGAAGTCTGTGACAGCTACACGATCATCGCCAATGCGCGCACTGTGGTGGGCGGCTTGTATCACTGCACGACTGGCACTTGACGCACGCGCTAATGTATATGACTGGCTAACGTTGTCGGGCCGCGTGGTCGTTACCAGGCACGATACAGACCGCCCATAGCACGGGCCGTCTTCCCTACAAGGCGTGTCGCCCCCGTTTACAGCGACCACGACGTGGCCAGGGGAGATGCACTGGATCTTAAGTCTCATGGTCGTGTGTGTGATTCGCAAGCAAGGCGAGAAGGACGTGCCTATTGAGTCTAGAACAAGTGTTTATGAACTGTGCGTGAGAGTCGAGGAGGATGAGGAAGAGCGGGAAGAGATCCGTTTGGATCTCTGATTGTGTCGCGAATCGATATAGCCTCAAAATCGGAATTACGTAGGTGAGCTACAGAGGCGTCAAACAAACCTGGAAATGCATATGTACAGTGACAACTTAACAAGAAACTCGTATCATTCATAAATAGTAAACATTCATATCCTTGGGACTGTTCTTGAACAATCCTTACTCGATAACGATACGGGAACTACCCGGTAACTCCATGCCATAACGTATGATTGGTGCTTGGAGCAAATACATATATCGTGCCGCACCGTGAAGAACGAATATCCAAGAATGGATGGCTGTCGATAACGCATCTACGCTTGTGCGTTGGGCCTGTGCTTCATACCACTCCTTCTAAGCACCTTGTGTAATGTCTGTGCAAGAATGGATGACAATCCAACACCATACCACAACGGATTCACCAAGTCGCGCAACGCGGAGGCCTGAACGATGCATTGTCGCACAGTCTAAACATGAATGTCGATAACGCATCTACGCTTGTGCGTTGGGCCTGTGCTTCATACCACTCCTTCTAAGCACCTTGTGTAATGTCTGTGCAAGAATGGATGACAATCCAACACCATACCACAATGGATTCACCAAGTCGCGCAACGCGGAGGCCTGAACGATGCATCGTTGCACAGTCTAAACATGGCTGTCGATAACGCATCTACGCTTGTGCGTTGGGCCTGCGCTTCATACCACTCCTTCTAAGCACCTTGTGTAATGTCTACGCAAGAATGGATGACAATCCAACACCATACCACAACGGATTCACCAAGTCGCGCAACGCGGAGGCCTGAACGATGCATCGTCGCACAGTCTAAACATGAATGTCGATAACGCATCTACGCTTGTGCGTTGGGCCTGCGCTTCATACCACTCCTTCTAAGCACCTTGTGTAATGTCTGTGCAAGAATGGATGACAATCCAACACCATACCACAACGGATTCACCAAGTCGCGCAACGCGGAGGCCTGAACGATGCATCGTCGCACAGTCTAAACATGACTGTCGATAACGCATCTACGCTTGTGCGTTGGGCCTGTGCTTCATACCACTCCTTCTAAGCACCTTGTGTAATGTCTGTGCAAGAATGGATGACAATCCAACACCATACCACAACGGATTCACGTTTGTTATTATTGATAATCGTGTTAGAATGACGTCCGCTGGCCCTAAACCATTGTGGCAAAGCGTAAAAGTGCGCAGTACATCTTTCCTAAGTAATAATTCAATACGGTCGTTGTGTGTGTGACGTGAGAATCACCGATTAACTTACCCCAACCCCGTACAAAACCAGTTGCAACTTAGAGTTTGATGAAATGCGTTGTTACTTTGCAACCGAAAACACTGTACTTTGCAGGGATTTGACTAATTTCGCACTGTAGGTTTCACACCAGGTTTACCCTTTGTTGTGATTGATGTGTTGGCAACCGTCATTGGCCGACGCATCTCAAACGATTCCCCCCGCAACACAGTCATCAGCCAAGAGGTACTTCAGCCATTGGGCGGCTGAGATCGAGCGGAAGGTGGGTTTATGCTAGGGTGGCTACACGTACACCGTCCAATGTAGCCTGATAGGGCTACATTTCTCTCTCTAGTCTCGCAACTCACCCCAACCACCCTCGTGCCCCACCCACCTGCTTCCGTCACTCCCTGGGCCAACACTTTGACGCTGCTCGTTGCCTTGACACACGCCTCTCCAGATCGGCCTTAGCGCGAAGCATAGTGGCTACTATTTCAGACTTAGTTGAAGCGGCTGTTTTCGTAAACACATAACAGTGATAGACGGCCGATTATGCCTTCGTGGGATTCAGTAGCAAAACCCTTTCGAAACCGGCTCAACCCTTCCGCGCGATTTGCAACTTTGCTCTTCCTACGATTACCATGACACGTGCAACACGTAACCAAGCAATGGAGGAGGAACAGGCCGGCCGCCGCGCGACAAGGGGGACGTCTAAACAAATCGATAGGGAGAGTGGTGGCGGCGCTAAAAAAAACAATGCGTCCGTCGCTCGTGGCATTGGGCCGAAAAAAGCGGCGGCAAAAAAGGTCGCGCGCGGTCAACAGGAGGCCGGCAAGAAAGCGGCAGACAAGGGGCCTAAACCAACGCCACGCAAGCGTGTTTCTACAGTGAACAAAGCTGCGGATGGTGCCTCTGCTGGAACCGAGCCCGGTCCGAGTAAAGACGGCACCACTGGCGGCAACGAAGATCCGGGGCGAGGGAGCGCGAGTCTTGCACTCCCGTCGGCGGAGATGGAGGGTTCGGCGACAGGGGGAAATCACGGAGGCGATCCTCGCGCCGAGCATGCCGCAACCAAGGAGTCCGAGGAGGCGGCAACGCAACACCATCTGACGCTGCTCCAGCCGAGCGTGGTCGAAGTTTCTGCAGCCGTGTTGGATAAGGACAAGGTGGCACAGCACGAGTCGGTGGGGCTGGTCGGTGGCTCTCCTCCTTCTGGTGGACGGGGAAGGCGTAGGCAAAGGAAGAGCGATGGGGAGGAGGATGATGACACCGCCGTGCCCGGGGACCTCACCACGCGGGCGAAGAGGCGCCAGACGACAGGTAGTGCTGACAACGCCGGAGGCGCGGAAGTTGACACACCGCGAGGCGCCAAGGAAGCTAGTGGCAAGGCGGGCGATCAAGCATTGCGCCAGAAGGGCCGCCCCGCAGCAAGAAAAGCATCTGGCGGAAGGAGAGGCAAGAAAGCAGCGACAGGAACGAGGCCGAAACGGGGCGATGAAGACCCCGGTGATACGGAGGAGGAGGAGGATGAGGAGGAGGATGCGGAGGGAGAGGAGGATGAAGAGGAAGCGGAGGAGCAAGACGCGGATGTTGGGGAGGATGCTAAAGATGAGAATGATGGCGGGGAGGACGAAGAGGAGGAGGAGGAGGAGGAGGAGGAGGAGGAGGAGGAGGAGGAGGAGGAGGAGAAGGAGGAGGAGGAGGAGGAGGAGGAGGAGGAGGAGGAGGAGGGGGATGAGGAGGAGGAGCAGGGTGACGAGGAGGAGGAGGAGGAGGAGGAGGAGGAGGAGGAGGAGGAGGAGGAGGAGGAGGAGGAGGAGGAGGAGGAGGAGGAGGAGGAGGAGGCATCAGAGAAGGAGGAGGAGGAGGAGGAGGAGGAGGAGGAGGAGGAGGAGGAGGAGGAGGAGGAGGAGGATGTGGCGCCAGGGAAGAGACGGGGCGGGCGTGGCGGTCGGGTGAGTGGGACAGGGAAGGAGGGGGGCCGGACTCGCCCTTCCCGAAAACGCGGGGCAGGTGACGCTGCGCGCGGCGAAGCAGCGGGCAAACCGAAGGCGCGTAAGGTGAAGGTCGAAAGTGAAGGGGTTGGTAAAAAGCAAGGGAGCCAGGGTGCAAAAGGGGATGGAGGAGGAAAGGGTGGCCGCGCCAAAGGGGTTCGAGTGGGTACCGGCAAGAAGGAACCTGCCGGTAAACGTCGCAGCGTGCGCCGAAGCACCCCGCGGAAAGGTGGCAACGAGAAGGCGCAGGCTGCCCCAAAACCGAAGGGACAACAGAAAGGTGAGCATTGTGTCCAATACAACTGGCGTGACGTGTTAAACAATCTGCTAAACCGTCCCAAATAACACCCTTTATTCACATTGTTTCTCTCCTGCAGGGAAGGAGAAGGTTGACGAATCTGCCAAGCAAGGTAAACCCTCTTGTCTCAAACCAGTACAACCCTAAACCCGATCTAGATTCAAACCTTTCTGAATATGCATGCATGTTTGGCCCCGCCTTGAAACCGATCGACTCCAATTTTTATTTTCCCACTCCCTCTACATCTCAGCCCCTCGCGTTACAGGCATTGGGCCGCCCTTAAGCGTGCAACGAATGCATCTAACGAAGGCTGCCGGAATAGCGAGTGTTACACCGCTCTCGTCCGGTGCACCAAGGTTCTACACGCCATGGGCCGGCCCCAGCAAAGTCGCTGCGACGGCACCCGGCGCGCCAAGAGGAGAGGAATCCGAATCCCCTCCACCCGTCCCCGTCACGCACTCCTCACTCGCCTCACCCTCGTACCCATTTCGGCAACTCCACGCTTCTCCTGTCCGGGGCAGGGCGGTCTCCCCCATCGCCGGTCCTTCTCGCGGGCATCAGGCAGGCACTTATGCCAATCCCTTCCCTGAGCTCCCCTTTTCCCGCCAGCGTGATAGTGTGAGGGCACACGGGACTGCTGCAGAAGACGTTGATACCCTTGGCCAGAGGGGGGATTCTTCACACCCTTTTCCTCCGCTCATGGGTGCCCTAGGTGAAAGTGAGGAGCACGAGCAGTTTGTTACACGGGAGGAGTTCCAGGCGCTGCGGTCTGAGATGTACGCCATGTTTGCACAGCTCGGCCTGCGTCGTGGAGTACCTGCCAGCTATGCCGGCGGGTCGGCAGCCCTGCCTATGGCTGGTACCCCGCCGCCGATGAGCGCCGTGGACAAGGCACGAGTGCTAGTGTTGCAGGAGACAAACCCATTCCCGGTATGTGGCGGGCCAAATGGGGCGGGTTGGGGTTGACGTGGCAACAAGGTCGGGGTTGGGGCTGACGTGGCGGGTTCGAAGGGAACACGGGAGCGGCGCGTGACGAGGCGACGCGTATCAGGTGGGTGGGGGGTGACGTGGCATGGGGTGGGTGGGTGTGACGTGGCAAGTGGGGCGGGTTGTTGGTGAACGTGGCGGATGCAAGTGTGTGTGACATGGCAAAAGGTGAGGGTTGGGATATGACGTGGCGGTGTGAAAGGGTGCAAGGGAGTGCCGCATGACGGAGCGAGGCGTTTCAGGTGGGTGGGGGGTGACGTGGCTCTTGGTGGGGGGTGTGACGTGGCTCTTGGTGGGGGGTGTGACGTGGCAAGTAGGGCGGGTTGTTGGCAGATGCAAAAGGGTGTGGCGTGGCAGAATGGGAGGGTTGGGGCTGTCGTGGTGGTTTGGAATGGTACACAGGAGCCGCGCGTAACGAGGCGACGCGTGAGAGGTGGGTGGGGGGTGACGTGGCATGGGGTGGGAGGGTGTGACGTGGCACGTGGGGCTGGTTGTTGGTGGACGTGGCGGATGTAGGAGGGTGTGACGTGGCGGAAGGTGAGGGTTGGGGAAGACGTGGCGGATGCAGGTGGGTGTGACGTGGGGGAAGGTGAGGGTTGGGGATGACGTGGCACCCTACAAGGGTACACGTGAGCGGCGCATGACAAAGCGAGGCGTTTCAGGTGGGTGGGGGGTGACGTCGCTCTTGGTGGGGGTGTGACGTGGCAAGTAGGGCGGGTTGTTGGCGGATGCAAAAGGGTGTGGCGTGGCGGCATGTGAGGGTTGGGCCTGACGTGGCGGTTTGGAATGGTACACAGGAGCGGCCACTGACGAGGCGACGCGTGTCAGGTGGGTGGGGGGGTGACGTGGCATGGGATGGGAGGGTGTGACGTGGCACGTGGGGCTGGTTGTTGGTAGACGTGGCGGATGCAGGAGGGTGTGACGTGGCACGTGGGGCTGGTTGGTGGACGTGGCGGATGCAGGAGGGTGTGACGTGGCGGAAGGTGAGGGTTGGGGATGACGTGGCGGATGCAGGTGGGTGTGACGTGGGGGAAGGTGAGGGTTGGGGATGACGTGGCACCCTACAAGGGTACACGTGAGCGGCGCATGACGAAGCGAGGCGTTTCAGGTGGGTGGGGGGTGACGTCGCTCTTGGTGGGGGTGTGACGTGGCAAGTAGGGCGGGTTGTTGGCGGATGCAAAAGGGTGTGACGTGGCAGCATGTGAGGGTTGAGGCTGACGTGGCGGTTTGGAATGGTACACAGGAGCGGCCACTGACGAGGCGACGCGTGTCAGGTGGGTGGGGGGGTGACGTGGCATGGGATGGGAGGGTGTGACGTGGCACGTGGGGCTGGTTGTTGGTGGACGTGGCGGATGCAGGAGGGTGTGATGTGGCACGTGGGGCTGGTTGGTGGACGTGGCGGATGCAGGAGGGTCTGACGTGGCGGAAGGTGAGGGTTGGGGATGACGTGGCGGATGCAGGTGGGTGTGACGTGGCAGCATGTGAGGGTTGGGGATGACGTGGCGGTTAGAAAAGGTACACGTGACAACTGCGCATGACGAAGCGAGGCGTGTCAGGTGGGTGGGGGGTGACGTGGCTTGTGGTAGGGAGGTGTGACGTGGCAGAATGGGCCGGGTTGTTGGTGGACGTGTCGGATGGCGCAGGGTGTGACGTGGCAAGTTCACACAGTGTTGCTAGTCACAATCCCATGGTCACGCGGCCACCCACATAACTGCTGGTTTCTCTCTCCCATGTCGTGTTGTATACCTTACACCACTGCGCAGAACAAAGCCTACTTAGTGTGCTCTCAGCTCATGTTTCTGAACCCGCCGGAGAAAATACAGTACTACCCTGCACCGGAGGAAGTGTTCGAAGCGTTCTCTGTCCACTTGTCTGCAGAAGGGCTCGAGGCAATGAAGCTGCTGTGGTTGCACAATGACAAGTCAACCATGGGAGTCTTCAACCACCAGCTGTCCTCAACAAGGTCAACTATCAACTCCACCCTCAGGCCAGCAACATACACCGGCATGGGCCTTGCTGATTACAGCCATCTCGTGGATAGCCTGCCCACTGAGCTACACCCAACGACCTGGTTCGATGACGTTCAACTCCTAGCCGAGTACAGAGATGGTATGTGCAACTCGAAAACACAATATGCCCTACCATATGCCAGTTGGCAGCTACATATCACCGTGCGATGTGGCTCACCCTGACACTCATCCCCCCACTTGATTTCTCTACAAAACCCTTTCCAACCCATACCCTCCCTGCCAAAAAACAGAACAGTGGGCCCTCAACTGGCACTTTGACAAGGCCACCGGGACGCCCTTCAGCAACCCCTTGTTCGCTTATGCGTTCAAGATCTCCTTCAAGAGGGGCGGGGCGGTGTTCACCAAGTTCAAGAGCCGCATGGTGGCATGGGGCCTGTTTTCGGTAAGGATGTAGATATGTGTTTGTACCCCCATGCCTCATCCCCTTAACCCCTTGCCTGTACTTCAACCCTAATCCCTGGTCGATTAGGCATTTGCAGTTACGTAGATAGTGACGACTGCATCACCGCTTTCAGTTGCCTCATTTACCCGTAACCTACCCTCCTCATAAACCACCCACCCAACCCTACTACACCACATTGCAGATCGAATGGCCCCTTCTGCAGGATAAGCGTCGCAAGCGAATCAGTAGCCAGCCAGAGCAGAACAGGCCAGACTACCAGGAGTGGTGCGAAAAGGTCAAACAGATGATCCATTTTGCTGTCGTGGAGCGGAGGATCCCCCACGATCCGGCTATGGGTGCGTTCGTCTTTCCGAACAAGTTCCTCATCGACGACGGCGACCTTGGAGATGTCGTCCTTGCCCACCGGGCGCTTTCAAGGCCCGCCAATGCGTAGGCTATTTGACCTGGTGCTAAGACTGATTGTTGCTAGCATGCTGAATAATGGTTCTTGTAAACCGCAATAATAAATGCAATTTTGAAATCCCCAAAATCCAAAATGAACAAAAACAGAATTTAGTATTGAATAAATTGGTCACGAATTTGCAACAAAACGGATTGCGTCGGAATGTCATCCGGAAAAGCTCGCGTGCCAAATTGGAACTTGAACCGAGCCAAGCCTTGTCGCGAGATGTGTCTCGGAGCTCCTATCAAATGACTCCAACCGTCGGTCCAAATTGGCTACGGATTTTTTTACGCGAAGACAATCGAAATCAAAATTCGACCAAACTTGGCATAGGGTTTTTGTGATGTGCTTCTCGTACACCCAGATTCTGTTCCTGCGTGCAGTGTAATCACCGCGAAGGCCTGTTCGGACACGCACACCATCCTCACCGTCCTCCAGGGAGTCCTCTTCCACGACGGTCGCCTCGTCTTCTACAACGCTAGGCCTCTCCTCGTTGGTGTTCCCAAGCGCCGTTCCCGGGTCCACGGTGGGAGGAGGAGGGTCACGGATGGCTGCCGCGGTCGATGGTGGCTGGCGGGTGGGTGCCGCGGTCGGTGGTGGCTCTCGGTTTGGTGCCTGAGTTGGTGAGTTGACTCCCGGGACCGCAGCTCTCAGAACAATGTTGCCAAAGCTAAAGCACGTAGCTGTTCCTCGCCATCCGCTCGCACGGCTATCGGTGAAGATCGTCGAAGTGGAGTCGGCTCCGGCTGGGAAAAGGATGGTGCGGTTGTTCCTGCATGATGGGGTGCAATAGAGACACGGAAAAAAAAATTATGGCTGTGTGTTTTGCGGCACCAAATGAGCAGTACCCTATCAATTTAAGACGGCCTCTCATGTATGAGACCTTTACACAAATATGTAAAGATCACATCGTGGATGTAGGCGTTACGACCACACATATCATGGTATTAAAGAACGGAGGGGCGCATTGACAAACCGTTGTTCAAACGAACCTGTTGCAGCGGATGGGTCGTACAGAGTGGATGGTGACAGCGTTCCGGATGGTCCTTCAGTAGCCACCGGGCCAGGGGTTGCAGAGGGCCTCCGCACTGCGGGTGGGCTTGGCACTGCGGATGAGGCTGGTGCAGCGGAAGGGTGGGTCGCAGAAGCGCGTGACGGTGTTGCGGATGAGGCTGGCGCTGTGGACGGCCCTGGCGCTGCCGATGGGCACGCCGACCCGGATGATGCAGGAGCCCCGGATGTGTGTGGAGCTGAATTGGGTGTCGGTGCTGTGGACGGGCGGGGCGCTGCGGACGGCCCTGGCGCTGCAGATGGGCTCGGCGTTGCGGACGATGCATGTGCTGCGGCTGGGCGGTTCGCAGCAACGGGCGACGGTGCTGTGAACGGGTGGGGCGCTGCGGACGGCCCTGACACTGCAGATGGGCTCGGCGCTGCGGACGATGCATGGGCTGCGGCTGGGCGGTTCCCAGAAGCGGGCGACGGTGCTGAGGACGGGCGGGGTGCTGCGGACGACCCTGGCGCTGCAGATGGGCCGGGCGCTGCGGATGATGCAGGTGCCGTGGACGGGCGGGCCGTAGGTAGCAGGTGCCGGTGTCGTGGAGTGGCGGGGCGCTGCTGAATGCCCTGCCGTTGCGGCATTCGGAGGTGGGCATCCTGCGCCGCTCTGTCTCTGTCGGCGGCCGCGTCGCTGCGACTGTGCTTGGCGAGCACGCCGCCGTGCTTCAGCCGCTTTGGCCGCAATGTTGTTGGCGGTCGCACGCGTCCGGCGTGTTTGCTGAACGTTGCATCGGCGAATACGAAGGCCAGCTGGTGGAGTGGGGTTTGGCCCAGGCGCGTCGGGCACAGGCGCCGTACCGTAGAGGTAAGTCGTGAGCAGGGGATGGGATTCACGTGCACCGACCTTGAGCTCGTTGTACTTGTCCAAAGACCGGGCTGTCAAAAGCCGCCATATCATGTCCGCGGAAGTCTTGCCGAACCGCTTCACGTTCTGCTGCATGTGCCACCCACAGAAGTAGTGCGCCACCTTCTCAGGGAACACTTCCTTCACCGCCGGGATGAGACCTTTGTCCCGGTCGCTGATGATGGCCGCGTCGTCCCGTCCCTT